CCTAAAGTTCGTGACGACTGATGCACTAGGTAAATCTTGTGTAGAGAATAAAATACATTCCAATCTATTCTGCTTTAGGATGGAAGTTCATCACAACGTGAACTAGGAGATGTAATGCACGTTGCACTACCTTCTGGTATTGATGCACACAAAATTTGTACCAATATATCTATTCAGACTTAATTAGTAATTAGAAGGTGATGGTGACAGAGAGAAGTGTACATTTCAATTTGGAATTCATGCCCTAGTATAATTTACAACTGTCAACTTCGAAACTAGTTAGGACGTGCCCCTAAACTATTTAAACCATCTACTTTACCCCTCTTGGACAATTAGAAGGTAGTTTTGCTGTGACCTTGCCACCCGGTAGACCAGTCAATGTTGATGTGCCATCTTGGTAAGCCTAAATCGCTCCTATCTAAAAAGAACGTAGTGTTCGGCTAGCAACACTTCCTAGGTGTGTTACTTGTTTGATCCCAAGTCCACAATCGTCACCTCCTGCCACTCGACACATGGCCCAGGTTTATGCTAAGGTGAACGACTAGAGTAGCAACTACCCATCCACGAGCTTGCTACGTGGATGTTGTTGTATTAGCTAGCGTGCCATCATGGACGCCGGAGGAGAGGTTCATGTTGGCGACCACGACCACCGGCATGGGGTTCATCTATGCAGGCCAGCAGGAGGATGTGGTACTTTTTTGAGTAAAGAGACAGAGCAAGGATGAGGTTAATGGCATGGTTTGTACATGACTTTGTCAAAAACGATGAAATGTCATCCTCGTTGGCAAAAACCACCATCGAGTTGAGAAAAAATTATGTTCTAGCCAGATTTCAAGTTTGAGGTTGTAAGTTAAACTTGGTCGCGAGTTCATGGTTGTAATGTGCACTTCTCTCTTGGTAATAAACATGTACAACTATGGAACATTTGAGAGCTTCCTCGTCCATTGTTGTTTGAGTCATAAGGACACAATGACATAATTTACTTACTCTAGAAATGTATAGTTAAACAAGCATCTTCATGTTAGGTAGGATTACATCTATTTGTAATCTAGAAGCTGAAAACATCCGGCAAAAAAAACTACCTCCAATCCATAATGTAGGTCATTTCATAATTTTGCCAGCCAAACTTTTGCAATTTGACCATCTATAAGAAAATAATTTACTACCATCCGAAACATCGATTTGATGTTGCTATATTGTGGATTGTAATTTTGTAACGTAAAATTACTCTTATATAAGTTAGCATGCTTAAACAAAAATTAGTTGATAAAATATCATCAAAAGACCTATATGTGGATGGAAAGAATGGTGTACTTATATGTTTTCGAGGACACCTTCTTCATCAAATGCTACAACCCGGCTATAGTCCTTTTAGCCACATGACATGAAGGGTTCATGATCCAATAGTTGAACACATGGTTTTGTGGTTGGTATGTAGCAATTGCTTAACCAATTTTACGGTTTTACTCTTTTATTTTCAAATGTGTCCTATGATAACATAATTGCGCAAACATATTGAAGACACAGACAAGCACACAAACATGCATATAGTTTGAATGGATATCATAGTCCAAAAAAAGAAGATAGGTGGAAACAAAGCAGGTTCCATAAAGGTATGTATACGTGCCAGATTGTTTACATTAAGTTTGGAAAACAATTGTAATACATGCCACATTGTTCAGGTTAAGTTTGGAAAACAATATTAATATTACTCTTATTTGTATCCCAAATTAATATTTTGAGATATAAAAATGGGAATTTTTTTTTATTATGAACATCAATGAATTAATATTTTTTCATACAAGCATATTCATTGTACTATCATTTATTTTTTTCATACAAGCATATTCATATGATTTAGTCCGAAGTCATGTCAAACCCATGAAAATCATATGAATATGCTTGTACCAAACCCGTGTACATATGATTTATACTTCCATGAATATGCTTGTACCAAACCCATGTACTACCAAGCAAATTCATATGACTTCGGACTAAATCATATGAATATGCTTGTACCAAACCCATGTACTACCAAACCCATGGAAGTATAAAATTTAGAATAAGAAAATAATGTGAATTTCCATATTGATTTTCCTACCAAACCCATGGAGAGTGCATAAACAGACAAGTTCAGAAGGATTTTAGTTATATTTGTTTATATTTAATACTGAAACGTGGAATTAAAAATATTGAAATGAAACTAGCATTTTGAATTCCAATCGTTTGAGCAGATGGCATGGACAACGCGAACAAGAAAAGGACAATTTACCATACAAGCGAATGAGATAAAATTCTTTAGCATTTTTTAGTATGCACTAGCAATTACATTGCATTAGGTAGAGATCTGAATGATAAAATTAGAGGAAGTTAAGTAAGCATGTGCAAAATCATCTAGGTGTGTGACATTGCACTAATATTATAACACAAACAACTAAAATACCACAAACAAAAATAAAAAGATTCTCAAAGAAAAACTGAAAGATGTGGACGATGTGTTCATCCTTTTATATCAAACTACCTCTCAACTTAGAAGCAAACAAAAATTGAAGAAAAAAGTCACTTGAATGGATAAAATTATAATAATACAACATTAACATTATTTTAAACTAATAATTTTGGCCCATGGTATACTTAATTCAAAACAATATTACACTTGTTGAGTGAGTGATGGAACTATGATATGGTTAGCGATGTGTCTAGTGAACATACATGCCATATTATTTAAAAAAAAATCTCAAGTGAAGCGAGTATTAATGTATTTGTTACAAATTTTAATGGCACTATCATTTATTTATTTTCATACAAGCATATTCATATGATTTAGTCCAAAGTCATGTCAAAATCTAAAACAACATCAAATCTAGACGCACAAAAGCATGCGTCACTGTGTTAGTAGTATTCTCTATGATGGGTAAAACTAATATTTGAACTAAGTCAGATTTATAATTCATCTGCATACTTCAAATGAAATTTAGACTCATCCAAATGAATCAACCAAGTAATACATTTATTTATTTTTCTTATGTACTCCCTCTGTTTCTTTCTACTTCACATACTCCCTCCGTCCCGAATTACTTGTCCCATAATGGATAAAAATGGATGTATTTAGAACTAAAACATGTCTACATACATCTATTTATGTGACAGTAATTTCGGGCGGAGGGAGTATTAGATTTGTCTTCAGTCAAACCTTTTGAAGTTTGCCCAAGTTTATATAAAAAAAGTAACAACATTCACAATACCAAATCAATATCGTTACATTTATTATGGAATATATTTTTATATTTAATATGTGTTTTTAATATAAATTTGGTCAATGTTTATAAATTTTGACTTAAGACAAATCTAATATGTGGACTAAAAAACGGAGGGAGTACCTTCAGTAAGTAAGACAAGGCAACAATCTTACGACAATATATCTATATAAATTGAGTCCTGGACTTTTCTAATGCTCAAAGTATCAAAAGGAGGAGATTGTTTGACTGGATTAATCTGCATCACAAGTAGGTCAACATGTTCTTTAAAATATCAAACCATCGTATTTTTCTATATAGAAAGTATTACTTGTAAAATTTGGTGAAATTACCAACTCAAAATAATGGGGAAATTATTGTATAGTGCAATATATTTTGGTAAACTCATTTATGTTGGGCTCCTATTTTCAAATCCCTAATAGCCACTACTTGTCCTAAAACAAATAGCAATTGATTTGTGCTCATACACATAAGATATACCAAAACCATTGTACTGCCATAAGGCAGGGAACATAACTCGTCAAATAGCTATGGCAACTATGGTTTATCTGATTTCAAGAAATAATATAAGTACTGATTTTAAGAATAAAAAAAGATACGGTGTGTAGTACTACATGCACTGTTGGGGATGCCATTGGTAGCACTGTGGAGGGGATGAACTGAGACCACGACAACAAAAAGAAGCAGAGCAATACAACAATTAGAGCAATAAAAAGACGCTCGTCACCTGGGGGCGCGTTGGTGCGGTCCTTGGGGCCCGTCCCGCCGTTGCCGGCCTGTACAGCGAGCGCGGCAGCCGCGGCCAGCCCGCCAACGGCTGCGGCAGCGACCGTGCCTCCACTGCTCGCGGCGAGCGCCGCCAGCAGCGACTCCATCGGAGTCGTTCGGTTGAGCGGAGCCTGGTGTGGAAGAGGAGGAAATTAGGCAGCGGCAGGGGAGCCCGGGACACTAGACGGGAGAGAACTGACGTGCGCGCTTTCAGTATTTATAGTAGTGACAGGGTGAATATTAACAAGAGTGGACGGGCTCGCCTGGTCATGAAATCGCGAGGCGCCCAATTGCCTTGGGATATGAAGCCCAGCAGGTATTGTGGGGGGAGTACAATACTTCGTTGGCAAAAAAGAATACGACGGCATAGCCAGAGAACACGTGAGGAGCTATGGTGAATGATATGTCGTCTCACTGAAACACATGTTGCTGCGGCCGGGTCAATGTGTTGAGCACGTGATGCCGCGGTCTGTGCGTGTTGGACCTGGAATTGTGTTATCCGGCTCTGCAGTCCAAACACGTGGTTGAAACCCGTGAGGTGCTAAGTGTGTTGACTTAGAATTGTATTCCTAGACTAGAAAGCTCGGAGCAATAATTAAGGGAATATTTGTAGAGTTTTGCAAGTGCCAGCAGTACTAGAGGGGGGCTACAGATCGGGTTTCGTACAAGCCGGCGGCTATTTTCTTCTTCTCTGACTGTAAGCTGCTGCGTTGACCCGGAAAGGTCCAGGTCGATGCTTCAATTTCCTTGGCTTTAGCGTAGCACGTTGTTAGAAGAGGAGAAAAATCTGCATGCATCAGGTCGATACTTGATGGCATGCATGCACCAGCAAATCCGCATGGCAGGCAGTTCGAAATACAGTACTTAAAAATCCGCATCTGCATGCCATGTCTAGCACTAGTAGCCGTATAAATATGTAGACGACGCATCGACCTTCCCTCCACTGCTCTCTGATTCAGCTGATCGACCATCTCCATGGCGACCGCGAGAATAGCCGCCGGGACCTCTTCCGCCATCGCCGGACATCGCCTCCGGCCTGCCACGGTGTCGCCGCTCGTGTCGAACTTGTCTCGCTCACACCATCACAGAAGAAACCAGCCTCTTGGCCTTGCCTCCGCCCGTGCCGCCGAGCATGGTCTCACCGGAGCACACCGCCCCGAGTTCTTCCCTCATGACCATTGCCGTCCTCCTCCCTGTTCGATGAGCGCGAGGAGGACGCGGACGATGGTAACTTCCGCTTTAGGTAAGAAACTCTGGTTTGATCGTTTCCTTTTTCGTCACCTTCGGAAGAGAGTGACCCGTCGCTCCTTTAGTCGGAATTATTGCTGTCAGCAGTGAGTGACTAATTTACATCCGTATCTACTCCCTCCGTAAACTAATATAAGAGCGTTTAGGGAATACTTGTATATAATATCAGATTCTCACCATTGAGACAGAGAAATAGTTATTTCTCAATGAGCCACAGAAATAACATAACAAATTTACAAATATTTTTTTTATATATAAACAAACATGTGAAGGCTTACTTAAGAATGTGGAGAAATACTGTGTGGTTCAAACCATGCGGTCCGGCTCCACTCTCCATTGCCATTGGATCTCTTATTAAGACAGTCAGCTGCATTTGACAGGTGCTGGTAATCTATGTACATGATTTTTTTTCAAGTAATATTTTTTGTGAGGTTTTGTGACATGTTTGTTCGCAACCTATCACTTAGAATCTGGGCATGGGCAGCCCGATCTGACAGCCCGAGCCTGAAGCTCGACAGTTCGGCCGGCTTGGGCTTCAGTTCATGACCCAAAAGCTCTATAAAGCCTAAAATGCCTTAAAAGAAGGGTTTAAGTGAAAAGTATATAAATCATTTAATTAATATTTTAAATATAAAATGCTATCATTTTTACTTTTCATACTAGGCAAGACTGGCTTTGGGATTTTAGGGTCAGGCTATTTAATGCACAACCCACGGAATTGCCAGGTCAATTGTCAGTGTACATACACAATTTAACAAGTGATACCATGATAGCCAAGAAGAGAAAGGGCTTGCAATCTATCTCGGAGGGCGCCACTTTAGCTCGCGGGAGCATATGCTCTCTGAATGAACAGTTAATCAAAATATATATCAAATAAAATTCTAAAAAGTGTAGCGAGTTGGGACTAAAGGTTTTGGGTTTTAGTCCCGACCCTTTAGTTCCGGTTTCAGAACCGGGACTAAAGGCCCTCTGGAACCGGGACTAAAGACCCGTTTTCTACTAGTGTGCGTACGTGTATGAGAGTTGTGCGTTTCTGGCCGGTGGTAAATCAATTAGCTTGGCTAGCTTCACACAACAGGATCGATCGAGTTGCTTACTGCTCTGAACGTGCGCGTCTCGCTGTTTCAATCGGAGTACCTTTGTGGAAGATTGTCATGAGTGAAGGAAGAAGCGGAGGAGCATGGAGGCGAGGCCACGGCTGCCGAAGGCGGCGGCCTCAGCAGACGCTCGCGGCGAGGTGCTCCTGTGGGCAGAGAGAGAGAGAGAGAGAGAGAGAGAGAGAGAGAGAGAGAGAGAGAGAGAGAGAGAGAGAGGACGAAGATGAGGTGGTGAGTTCAACGGTCAAAACCATGTCAGGTCAGCACAAAATCACCCGAAGCAATCCAAGGGACGAAAATTTTCTGGTTTCAACCATTGAGGGATTAGATTTTGCTGGTTTTAGAGTTGAGGAACCATTTGTAGACTACCAAAAAAGTTGAGGGACGGAAAATATACTTTTCTCATCTCAAGTTAGATTTGCTAAAAAAAATCATATTCTCCATTAGCTGCACAAGAATGAATATACACTTTAAATGTTTTGTATGCCTGAGAGTAGCATCCTCTGCAGTGTTTACATGAGCAATGTCCCTAGCCTGAAAAAAATAACATGGGTGATGTCCCAATTTCCTCAAACATTCTTTTTTATGGGATGTGCCAATTGATTTGTGAAATACATCTCCTATCTTCAATCAGCAAATGTGGAGGAGGCATCTGCCGAAGAAAATGCATGTCTCCAAAACATGGTATGTAGTATGTACATCACTATCAATCATTGTTGCGGTGATGTTTGAGGCTCTTGTCACATGATTCTAGTTTCAACTAAATTAGGAGCGGAAGGCTAGAATAAGGAAGCAGCTCCTGGAAGCTGAGTTGTTGCCATCTTCCTACGACACCGCCTGGGTGGCTATGGTGCCCTTGTCGGGCTCTCCTCAAGTTCCATGCTTCCCAAAGTGTGTTGAGTGGATCCTACAAAACCAGCAGAGCAATGGATCTTGGGGTCTCATCCAAATGGACTCCTCCGTCAACAAGGATGTCCTCTCATCCACATTGGCTTGTGTGCTGGCACTTAAGAGATGGAATGTTGGTGGTGAGCATATCAAGAGAGGTATGAACAAAGATGAATTTGCCTACCCTTTATTGTTGTTTTACTGTCTTGTATCTCAAGTTTTGCCAAATTAATGTGGCCTTGATGCGATAAAAATGGTACTGGCAGGACTATGTTTCATCAGAAGAAATTTCTCTATTGTTACGAATGAGCAGAGTGATACCCCTATAGGCTTCAATATCACGTTTTCGGGTATGCTTATCCTTGGGACTGAGATGGGTTTGGAATTTCCGGTTGGACAAAATGATCTTGATAGGATTCTTCACCTCCGGGAGGTGGAGCTGAAAAGGTTTGTCTGACAGTTCTGGCATGAAAATTGTGTTGTACTCTTTCTTTTCTGGCCACGTTTACACTTTAGGGATAGATGATTTTGAAACATAGGTTTTTGGGACTGGCTATTTTTCTCTTGTATAAGATGAACATTTTTCAGTGCGAAGTTCATTTTTTTAATGATTTTCTAAGAACCATGACTTGAAGAAGAAAAGGACCACATGTTAGCACATTTGTCTTTTCCTTAATGAAATGGGCAACCAGAATTTGAGTTAGACATGTATTACCTCTGATTATTATTTCAAAAGTTTGTATCTTATACATATGGACTTTATTCAGACTTCTTGGGGATAAATCCGATGGGAGAAAAGAATATATGGCTTATGTTGCTGAAGGGCTAGGAAACCTGCTGGACTGGAATCAAGTTATGAAGTTCCAGAGGAAGAATGGGTCGTTGTTCAACTCTCCTTCCACAACTGCTGCTGCACTAATCCACAATTTTGATGACAAAGCCCTACACTACTTAAATTTGTTTGTCAATAAATTTGGTGGTTCAGGTCGGTCTAGCTACCTTTCTTTGTGAGAAATTTGTAAGCTCTTCAGGCTGTGGCTAAATACCTAACAATATTAGAATTTTGCAGTGCCAACAGTTTATCCAACAAATATACATTGTCAGCTTTCATTGGTAGATTATCTTGAAACCATCGGGATATCTCATCATTTTTCTAGTGAGATAAAGAGCATCCTGGACGTGGCACACAGGTAACGGTCATGAATAAAGTTCTGATATTTATCTTTTGTATCTTGTAAACTTCATTGTATCCACTTTGTAGTTTCTGGTTACAGAGAGATGAGGAAATCATGCTAGATGTAGCAACATGTGCAATGACATTCCGTCTTTTGCGAATGAATGGATATGATGTTTCCTCGGGTACTTTCTTTGGGCGGGAATTTCCTATCTTACAAATGTTATCTTTATATTTTTTTTGTATGTTTAATTTAACTCGCTAATTTCAATACAATGCAGATGATCTGTATCATGTTGATGCATCCACCTTCCATAATTCACTTCAGGGATATTTAAATGATACAAAATCTATATTGGAATTGTACAAAGCTTCAAAAGTCAGTGTATCAGAAAATGAATTTAGCCTAGATAACATAGGCTACTGGGCAGGCAGGTTATTGACAGAAAAATTGCTCTCCGAGCGGGTGCAAACAACGGCAATATTTCAAGAGGTCCTTACATGAAATTTAAATCTTAGAAAGTGGACTAATTCTAGCTTTTATTGGGTGTTTACTGTTTCTATGTTTTTATACTTCTAGGTTGAGTATGCTCTTAAATTTCCCTTCTATGCCACAATGGAACGTATAGGCCACAAGAGGAACATTGAACACTTCGATGTTTGTGGTTCTCAAAAGCTAAAGACAGAACATCTGTAAGTCTCATTTCTCAAAAAGAATAGTCTGTAAAGTCATATAAATAAGGATGTCAGACATAAATTCTAGACATTTTGCTGAATCAGGCCATGTCGTGTCAGCCAAGATTTCCTGGCTTTGGCTATTGAAGATTTCAGTTTTTCTCAATCTATTTACCAGGATGAACTCCTGCATCTTGAAAGGTAATGTAAAATTTATGCTCTCTTGCCCTATTAATTTCCATTCTTAGATGTTTAAAAAATAATTGTGGCAACAGTTGGGTGAAAGGGAATCGGCTGGACCAATTACAGTTTGCACGGCAGAAGCTGGCATATTGTTATCTTGCTGCTGCTGCTACTATATTTCCTCCTGAACTGTCTGATGCTCGCATGTCGTGGGCCAAAAATGGTGTGCTCACAACCGTTGTTGATGACTTCTTCGATGTTGGGGGATCAAAAGAAGAACATGAAAACCTCGTAACTTTAGTTGAGAAGTAACCCCCTTGGCCCTTCATTTTGTAAGTGGAGTTGGTGTGTCGCACATTGCTAACAAGTTTTGGTCCCTGATTTGCTAATGTTTATCTTAGGTGGGATGATCACTCCAAAGATGAGTTCTGCTCTGAGCAAGTGAAAATATTGTTTTATGCTATCTATACTACAGTCAATCAGCTTGGAGTAGTAGCTTCTGCAATACAAAACCGTGATGTTCGAAAGCACCTGATAGAATTAGTGAGTTTCCATTATGTTTGTCTATTTCTCAAAATAAAATTGTTCAGCACTGACATGTTGAATCCATCTGCAGTGGCTACAACTGTTGAGGTCTATGATGTCTGAGGCAGAATGGCGGATGAGAAAATATGTGCCAACAGTTGAGCAATACATGTCAAATGCAGTTGTTTCCTTCACACTGGGGCCCATTGTGCTCACATCGTTGTACTTTGTTGGGCCAAAGCTCTCGGGATGTGTTATCCAAGATCAAGAATACAAGGAGTTATTTAGGCTAACGAGCACAATTGGTCGTCTCCTCAATGATATCCAAGGACTTGAGGTATTTGGGTTCCTTTTATCCTCAACTTCGTACCTACGCACGTCACGGTCGCATATGTATTCTATATTTAGTATAGCTGCATAAACATATGTTATTTTCAAGTTATATATGCTTCACACACCACAACAGGGAAATTCCTTTCATCTTAATATAAAGAAATATCCCGATGGTTGCCACAACAAACTGTAAACAGATATGTGGTGAGATAGAGACACTATAGTAATCCTCAGGACTACAAGTTCTAACAAAAATCAAAATTTGCAGTCATTCATGATCTTGTCAAGAATTTATTCTTGTAAAACACACATCTAAGTGCTTGTATGGTAATCTTAGGAGTTCCAGGCGATGGTAGAAGACAGACTGATGTTTACTCTTAGAAGCTATAATACATCTAGTAGTTGCGTATCCTGTTATTATATAATAATAATGAAGAGAATAGTAGTAATTACTCATCCCTGTTGTCTCATGTATTTTCGACCTGCATGCTGTAATTTGGTACCCTGACAATCTTTAAATCTATTTACTACAGAGGGAGAGCAGGGAGGGAAACCTGGATTGTGTCTCACTACTTGTTCTCCACAGTGGTGGTTCTATGTCAATTGAAACGGCTAAAGAAACGATACAGAAGGCCATAGCCTCATGTAGAAAAGACTTGCTAAAGCTGGTTCTTAGGGAAAACACAGTTGTTCCTAGGCCATGCAAGGAGCTGTTCTGGAAGATGTGCAAGATAGTTCACTTGTTCTACTCTCAGACTGATGGATTTAGCTCGCCAAATGAAATGGTGAGTGCGGTTAATGCAGTTATCAACGAGCCGCTAAAACTCCAAATCAACAATCGACCTTTGCCCATGCAGTCAGTAAATTAAGGGTTCCGTGTATTTTGCCTTGTTTTAATGGACCGATCAATCTGATGCTCTCTTGAGAAAAAACTTATGAATCAGATAATAACCAGCAGTACGGATACACTGTGTATGTGGTACATCAGAAACAACTATTGTACTATATTTGTTATTCAACTTCCTATCTAAATATGTCACATTTGCATATGTATTATATATTTGGTATAGCTGCATAAGCATATGTTATTTTTAAGTTATATGCTTCACGTAAATTCCTCGTATACACCACGAAGCTCCGTATCTGCTGCGTGGTGTTGATCTTTTCTTGTGTAAATCCCGTGTCATTCTCGGCATTGTACTCGCTGGTGCACTTCTATGTTGATGCAAATACTCCCTCCGTCCGAAAATACTTGTCATAGAAATGGATGCATCTAGACATATTTTAGTTTTAAATAGAGTTAAGTACGCTGGAGGTGCCCCAACTTGTCCTGCGCGGTCAGTTTAGGCCTAAAGTTGGAAAATACATGAAACTAGTGCTTAAACTTGTCCCATGGTGCAAATACGGTGCCTCCTTCCGAATCCAAACGTACGTCCAATCTGTGTGGCGTGCCAGCATAGCGGTGACCCACCTGTAAGTGGCTGAGAGCGGGAAAATGTTGGGTATACTCCGCGCACGAGGATTCTTTTTACAAAAATCCCCTTATATTTTATTTAATCATATAGGAAAGACGTGAAATACATATGTTTATGAAGTCCCGATTCATCGTGAAATCTTTGTCCAATTATATCCGAGCAATGCATTCAACAAGGTAACGACGAAAAAAGACGTCTTCATTGACAGGTACAACCATGCACACGGGACATCCACAGAATTTAACACTCTACCCCTTGTGCACGGGTCAAGAGGCCCGTGCGCATGGGGTGTACATAGAGATTTCCTGGACCCCGTGCTCACGGGTTAAGCAAAGAGGATACCATGAGGACTTCTTCGAGAGGCTTTTGATGAAACTCTTCCACAATAGTCCAACATGCTTCATGCATCACTATGGACCATTTCTTTACATAAGATACAATGCCCTTGATGTTTCATATGAATTCTCATTCAATACCAAAGCTTAGAGCAAATCTTCATCTTTATGGCAATCATCATTAAGGCACCACCTATGTAATATTCCTTCACATATATCTTAGTGAAAGCATTACTCCATATAGATTGTTATTAATTACCAAACCATAGTTAGTGGATACATGCCCTTTCAATTGGTTATACAAAATATTTTGGGATGTACGAGAAGCAACAACTGTTAAAGATCACCAATGAGGCAGTACAGTTTATAGTCACCTAAAGGAAATATGCCCTAGAGGCAAAAATAAAGTAGTTATTTATATTTCCTTATATCATGATAAATGTTTATTATTCATGCTAGAATTGTATTAACCGGAAACTTAGTGCATGTGTGAATACATAGACAAACAGAGTGTCACTAGTATGCCTCTACTTGACTAGCTCGTTAATCAAAGATGGTTAAGTTTCCTTACCATAGGCATGAGTTGTCATTTGATGAACGGAATCACATCATTAGAGAATGATGTGATTGACTTTACCCATCCGTTAGCTTAGCACTATGATCATTTAGTTTAATGCTATTGCTTTCTTCATAACTTATACATGTTCCTATGACTATGAGATTATGCAACTCCCGAATACCGGAGGAACACTTAGTGTGCTATCAAACGTCACAACGTAAAGGGTGATTATAAAGATGCTCTACAGGTGTCTGCGATGGTGTTTGTTGGGTTGTCATAGATCGAGATTAGGATTTGTCACTCCGTGTTTCGGAGAGGTATCTCTGGGCCCTCTCGGTAATGCACATCACTATAAGCCTTGCAAGCAATCTGACTAATGAGTTAGTCACGAGATGATGCATTACATAACGAGTAAAGAGAGTTTCCAGTAACGAGATTGAACTAGGTATGATGATACCGATGATCGTATCTCGGCCAAATAACATACCGATGACAAAAGGAACAACGTATGTTGTTATGCGGTTTGACCGATAAAGATCTTCATAGAATATGTGGGAGCCAATATGAGGATCCAGGTTCCGCTATTGGTTATTGACCGGAGATGAGTCTCGGTCATGTCTACATAGTTCTCGAACCTGTAGGGTCCGCACGCTTAACGTTTGATGACGATCGGGATTATGAGTTTATGTGTTTTGATGTACTGAAGGTTGTTCGGAGTCCCGGATGTGATCACGGACATGATGAGGAGTCTCGAAGTGGTCGGGACATAAAGATCGATATATTGGAAGGCTATGTTTGGACACCGGAAAGGTTTCGGATGAGTTCGGACATTTTCCGGAGTACCGGGGGTTACGGAACCCCACGATAACCCCCCGGGGAGTTAATGGGCCTTAATGGGCCATGGTGGAAGACAGGAGGCGGCGGCCAAGTGGGAGGTGTCGGTGTCAAAACCTGCGGATCTTGGGTAGGGGGCCCCGAACTGTGCGTCTAGGCGGATGGTAACAGGAGACAAGGGACACGATGTTTTTACCCAGGTTCGGGCCCTCTCGATGGAGGTAAAACCCTACTCCTGCTTGATTGATATTGATGATATGGGTAGTACAAGAGTAGATCTACCACGAGATCAGAGAGGCTAAACCCTAGAAGCTAGCCTATGGTATGATTGTTGTTCGTCCTATGGACTAAAACCCTCCGGTTTATATAGGCACCGAAGAGGGTTAGGGTTACACAGAGTCAGCTACAATGGTAGGAGATCTACATATCCGTATCGCCAAGCTTGCCTTCCACGCCAAGGAAAGTCCCATCTGGACACGGGACGAAGTCTTCAATCTTGTATCTTCATAGTCCAGGAGTCCGGCCAAAGGCTATAGTCCGGCCATCCGGACACCCCCTAATCCAGGACTCCCTCAGTAGCCCCTGAACCAGGCTTCAATGACGACGAGTCCGGCGCGCATATTGTCTTCGGCATTGCAAGGCGGGTTCCTCCTCCGAATACTTCATAGAAGATTTTGAACACAAGGATAGTGTCCGGCTCTGCAAGATAAGTTCCACATACCACCGTAGAGAGAATAATATTTACACAAATTCAATCTGTTGACGTATTCCGTGGTGTGACATCACACCACGGCCAAGCCTTTATTCGGATCGTTTTTACTGTTCCACCTCAGCGCGTTTAGCGAGGCGGTTTCTTTGGCACGTCTTGTCAAAGTAGAGATCGTGTCCCCTTATTCCGGGATTCTCATCAATACGGGCGTGGGTAACCCAACCGCGCCATTGATTATGGCGCTTGGGAGATAAGCGAGTTTTACCAGGCTGGTGGGGACGCATATCTTCGTCCGTCCATATAAGGGGATAAGGATCCACTTTTTCACACACGCCTTCTTCCTCCTTTGCTCATCCATTTCCGTGCACTCGAGCTCCAGCGCCCAAGTCCAGACATCTCGCCTCAACCTTCCCCAACCATGTCCGGAGGGGGAGGCAAGTGGATGGTCTCCTCCATCACGGAGGGGCACATCAAAAAGCTGCGGAAGGCCGGATACTTGTCCAACGACATCGCGCATCGGTTCCCCGACAAGGGGCAGCTTGTCCCCACCCCCCAGGCCCCATGAGAGGGTGGTGTTCCTCACCCACTTCCTCCGTGGACTAGGTTTTCCACTTCACCCATTTGTCCGGGGGCTCATGTTCTACTACGGCCTGGATTTCCATGATCTGGCCCCGAATTTCATCCTCAACATCTTGGCGTTCATCGTCGTGTGCGAGGCCTTCCTCTGCATCCAGCCCCACTTCAGCTTATGGCTGAAGACCTTCAATGTCAAGCCGAAGGTAGTGGGCGGCCGCCAGGCGGAGTGCAGAGGTGCCATGGTGGGCAAGATGCCCAATGTCTTATGGCTCGAGGGCTCCTTCATGGAGACCATAAAGGGGTGGCAATCGGGGTGGTTCTACATCACCGAGCCGCGTGACCCTAAATGGGTGGCGGCCCCCGAATTCCGATCTGGCTTCCCTACACGGCTCACCTCTTGGAAAGAGACGGGCCTAACATGGGGTAATTCGGAAGAGCTGATCGGACTCCAATCTTGCGTCAAAAATCTGGTGAACAAGAAGCTCAAGCTCGTCAACGTAGTCCAGGTCATGCTCATCCGCCGGATCCTCCCGTGCCAATAATGGGCCTTCAGCTTGTGGGAGTTTGATCCGGCACAACACCAAACCTTGAGCAGGCTCTTCGACACTACGTACGAAGATGCCTGGAAGGTGCTGTTCAAGGGCGCCGAGGCTCCCGCATCCGCTACCGAAGATCAGGGATTTAGCTCGCAGCGTCAAGCCGGCGAGGCAAGCTATTTTACCCTTTACAGGACACTTGCTTTCCATAGTTTGACTCTATGCGAGATCTAAACTCCCTTACCTTTGACAGGCCTGGCAAAAGACGTCCGGGTAGGTTGACTGCCCAACTCCCTTGCCAGAAGACCCATCGGACGCCCGATTGACGGGGTTGCTGGTTCCGACACCTCACGTGGTGCCGGAGAAGAAGGCCAAGAAGAAGGCCACGGGAACCCGAAAGAGTTCCCGGCGCCAGGTGTTATCGGACTCATCGTCCGATGACTCCGAGGCGGACTCCTCCCGCGAAGACGAGGAGGAGGAAAAAGAGGCCTCTCCCCCAGCGGGGGAAGAGAAGAAAAGGAAGGCCACCCCAACCGGGGAGGCCGGAGGGTCCAAGAAGGGAAGGACCCTTCCTCCGGACTACTCCACCAACACCGACAACGGCGAAGAGGAGTGGCCACTGAGGGCTAAGCCCCTGGCGACATCGTAAGTGTCAGGATATCAGAATAACTCGTGGCGTTTCATTTGTCGTATAGAATCTCCTAACGCCGAATATAACCCTGCAGCCCGCCCAAGGACGGGCTCAATACTTCAGCGAGCGGCTCCCTGGCTTCGTCGGACGTGAATAGCACTTCACTTCCGGCCGCCTCCTCTCCTCGCGCTGTGGATGACACCGAGGTGGGGTC